TGCAGAATATTTCAGCTGTTGAACAAGAACTTTCCATGGTTTTTTAAATAAACTGCTTCTAAAGCTTAAGATACATTTACAAAGAATTCCCTATGAAATACATTTTTTTATCTTTCAGAAGCAGCTAACTACAGGTTTCAGCTATATCGTGTCTTTAACTTAAAACTTGATAATGAATAATTATGATGAAAAAATGAGTGACAACGACTAACTACACTAATAAGGATAAGAAAGTAACTTTAAAGTTATTTTTAATATTTGGTCATTATTTGATAATAATTATCAAAATGTTATTCCTAACTAGCTAAAATATTACTCCTCACTTAATATTAAGTGTCCATGACCTCAAATGTTTTATTTAAGAGACAAATAAACATACTGCTTTTGTACAATAAAATTATGGTTTACGAAAGTCAAAACAAAACAAAAGCTTCTTGGTTACTGTCAATTTAAATCAGAGCTTGAGAGAAAGAAAAACTTGATTAGGTATTTACTACAAAACTCTCCATTTAAATGACTGCTTTTTTCTTCATGAAGCAAAAATGCTAACTTCTCTAGAAAAGACTGCAGAGAGGAGAGAGAAGCCACTGACCCTCTACTTCTCTTGTTTTGTGGTATAAAATATTTGAGATTCTTGTGGAAATTTATCCTAGGCTGTAAGGTTTCCAAGAAAATATACCATAATAATGGGGAAAAGGCTGAGCTTCGCTAAACATAGGGTTCCCACCCACTTCTCCCCCCAGCTTTTCCCATAAAATCAACCTCTACTATAAAACAAAGCATCCTTTAGCAAGTAGCTCCCTACAGGATCCTATCTCTCCTTGAGTGCTTACCACAATCTGATTTCTGGACAGCTGACCCAAAGTCTGTTGATTTTACTGATCTTCAGAAAGCCACTGACTGGCTAAAGTCTTACAGGTGAACAGAGCCAAAAATCAGATGCCCCTGTCATACTTTACAGAATGAGGAGTTGGACAACACAGTTACGTTTGGCTGCACTGTGGTGATACATATGAGGCATCTTCTTTTTTTGTCTTCAATTAGCCACGTTTGGGCTGAGTAGCTCTATTACATCTTCAAAAAACTGAGCTCCAGTTCTTGATGGAGATAGAGGAAGGTCATTGAGGAGGTGATTCAGCTCAAGAGCTGAGTGAAAAATCTGTCTTTTGATTCAGTCCTGCTTGTGGATAGAAGTCATCTTCTGGATGGAAGAGGGAGTGAGATGACCTAGAGTCTTGAATTGGTGGATCTGCAGGAACAGAAACTAAATACAGTGGAGACCTCTTAACCGGGTAACACCACGAGATGGATTTCCTGACAATGTGTCAATATAAGCTAAATATAAAGGTTAAACATGTGCATTAGAACTGATCATGCACTTGTTTTTCCAGATATCAAATGCATTTGTACCATTCTATGAATAGATACATTTTACCAACAACTAATTGTGTAACGATTTATGGAAAAAGTACCAATTTAAGGGAGACGGGAAAGACGTAGTCAAAAACACATACTTTGCCTTTATGAGGACCATACCTCATTTTAAAAATCTCAGTTTTTCTTTCAAATTACTTTTTCTCTATATACACAAATAATAATCTGTTTATCCATATCAGTACTAACATACATCAAATTTTAATTTGACTTGGATTTTTTAGGTATTTTTTTATCCCCTAGAAATGGAATTCAAATACATTCAAGGTACCAAATAGAGGCTTGAATAATCTACCTGCTCATAAATTCTAAGACTTGCATTAACTAAGTTGAGTCCTATACATCAATCAAAAGAAGAGTATAAATCATGAAGTCAGGCAATCTTTAACTGTGAGTAGTGGCCACCTAAATTTCCCTCAAACTTTCGTCTAAAAAAACTAAGGAAGCCTACAACCAGATTAGAGTGGATCTAGTTTTAAATTTCTCTATATATCAACAAGAACTTTGATGAACATTTGATTACTTACTTCTGCTTAGAATTTGAATATGTAAATTTACTGTATATACTCTCGTAATTATCAGACCAAGGGTCAGCATACTATAGCCTGTCGGCCAAATCCAAACTGTTAGTTATTTTTGTAAATAAAGTTTTATCAGTACACAGCCACACTTACTCAATTATGTACTGTCTATGACTACTTTCCTGTTACAATGGCAGAAAAAACAGTTGCAAAAGAGACTACAAAACCTAAAATATTAACAAACCGTCCTTTATAGGAGAGAGTTTACCAATCCCTGATACAGATGATCATTAAAACACATGTAAGACAATTTATACTGTTTTGAAAGAAAAAGAAGCAACAAGTGGAATTAAAATTAGATGCAAGTCAATCATAACAAACTTACCACAAAAAGAAAGCAAAAGTAAAATAAGTCCCAAGAGGACACAAAGTGGCTTTGATTCAGATGAAGAATTTGATCTTATCTTAAAATTACCTTTTTAAGAGTTTTTAAGAGTTATAAATGTTATGAAACTAACATATTCCAGAGTATATAGATAAATGCCATGGAACTGAGCCCTTAAAAAGTTAATTTTATGTTGTGAATTTTACCTCAATAAATTATTTTTAAAGAGTATATACAGTATTTTACAGCTTTCTACGTTTAAGTGGGCCACATTATATTGTAGCGGTTAAACATGTAAGTCACATCTTACCTAATAATGTGGTTTCTCCAAAATCTCTTAGATCATCTCAGACCCTTGTGTATATTTCTTCTTTGCCAGTAGATGGAGACAACACCACTGAAAGTTTAAAAGACATCATTCCCTGTTTAAAGGGAGCTTGCTGGTCTGAAAACTGGGGGAACCCTAACCCAAGATTTCTTCGAAGTTATTTTTTAAAAAGCAGACAGAATAGTCAAGCCAAATCCAGAAATCCAAGGGAATGTACCCAATATTAACTACGGACATCCTCAAAAATTTACTGAAGGGGAACTAAACTCTGTACATGATGTAGTAACTAAATCACAGTATATTAAAATGCAATCATCTCTGTAACTTGAAAGAGTCAAACTTCCTTCTCATTGCTCCTTATTTAGGCTAGATTGTTTATTTTTCAGTTTCAGAAAGTATAACTAAAATATATAAGAAAAACTTTTTTAAATTCCATAGACAGATGCAATACACATATGATTTTCTAAGTATGATGGTCATATCACTGCTAGAAGCTTTTAATTCAAAATAAGACAACTACCCAGATCCACAGGAAAATAATAACTTTATAAAGAAGAGAATTGAAGTAGAAATGGTAGCAGCGGTAAGAAAAAATTCAATTTTATGGTCAAACTGAAAATAAATGCTCATGAGGGTGAAGAATCAAACTCCTCTACTTTCCAAGTTTCTTATTTCACTATTAAAAATTACATAAACAGAACAAAACCATCTGTAAGAAATAAATTTCAAATCTGAAAGCTTAACAAGTCATCTCAAAATAATTATTTTTCAAATACCAGCTTTCCTTTCCAAATTCAAAGCCTGAAAGCCATTGTTTTTAAGTGCAATTCTGAACCCCCCAAAGAAGTTTATCAAGCTAAAAAGAACAAACTAAGGTACTGCTGCTATACTAGGTTTATTTGCCACAGGACTCCTGTCTTTGAAGTACACTAAACAAGAACAACCTCTTTGGCAGAAGATGTCTTATTAAGAGAAAGATTTCCTTTGAATCAAATAATATTGTTAAAAAAGAATACAAAAACTTTTAAATCCTGTCTATGGCCATGCCACCCTGAATGTGCCTGATCTCGTCTGATCTTGGAAGCTAAACATGGTCGGGCCTGGTTAGTACTTGGATAGGAGACCATCTAGGAATACCAGCTGCTGTAGAAACTTTTAAATCCCTTATTTTTATGTATATTTTGCTCATTCTCTAATCACATATAAGAATTAAAATCAGTTTACATAAAAAGGAAAAAATATAGTATTCACATATTACTATACCTACAAAACCTAAATTAAACTAGAACTGACAATAACTGCTAAAGTAAATCCTTGTATAACTCATTACAAGATAAAGTAGACTCCGAACCACAAACTTCTATTTAATTCTGAAATTTTTTTATTCTCCAGAGATAACTATTATGTATCAATAAAACTATACCTAAGTTCTAGCTCCCTATTAAGAACACATAAACAAAATTAAACACCTTTTCATCATCTTCATGATAAATGTTCTATGGATTTATTTAGTTAAATCCTTGATTTTCCTCAACAACTTTTTTGCCTCTTTCCCAACTCTTCAACAACTATTATTTATAAAGCAAATACAAATGAAATAACAACCGCCACCACAGAAAAGCACTTTCCTTGCAAATTTCAAAGTGTATTCACATATATTAACTCAAATTTTATGATCGGAAAAAGCTCACACAGAAAGTAAAAACTATGGCCAACACACACAAAATGTAATTCGCAGTGAAATGTAAATATTTGTATTTTGCACTGTTACTTGTCCATCAACACAGATGAGGGAAAAATGCTTATAGTCCCAATTTTTAAGTAAAGCAATAACTAGAAGAGTATCCTGGAATTCTGTGATTAATATAAAGTAGATCAACCAAACTGCAATCTATAGACCATATTACTACAAAAGGAAATTAAAATGACCAACAAGGAATGACTTTTCTTTATAGTAATTGAATTTTGGAGAAAAAAAATACACCAGGTATTAACCTGGCAAGTTCTTCTCAGGGATCTATGATGTCAGTGCTCCTGCCTCCACCTGCTGGCAAACAGATTATAAAACTAGCAGAGATTACTGGGTAAAAAAGTTCACATCTTTTTGGTAACAAATCAATGTTTTATGTAATTATTTAGCATAATGCTACTATGTGTTAATAAAATCATTAAAACATTGATAAAATCCATTAAAAATACATTAAACTTCATCAAAAAAAGTTACAAAAGATTTCTTAATTCAGAATCATCAAAAAAAATTACAAAAGATTTCTTAATTCAGAATGTTATCTAACAGGCCAAAAATCAAGTTAAAAAAATTTTTTTAAATTACCTGATAAATGACATCTTGGAAAAGGACTGGAAAAGTAAGTGCTGCATCTTCTAGCTCATTTAGACTACAGTGTACTAGTGTTTCATCCTTGAAATAAAAAAACATATATTGAATGAACCAAGATATTAAAAAAAATTTCAATGATAATTTTATGTATTCATGATCACCAAAAACATTATTCAAACACCCATTCATATATGGAATTTTACATTTATCATACATTACTGTGGGTGATACAGAAATTTGCATAGAATTTTCTAAGTCACTAGTTCTCTGGCGTGGTTCCTGGACCAGCAAGCAGCATCGACATCACCTGGGAACTAGTTAGAAATGCAAATTCTCTAGCTCCACTTCTGGTAATTCAGAAATTCAGCAGGGGTGAAGAGAGGAGCTCTGCAATCTGTTTTAATAAGCTCTTCAAGTAATTCCAATGCATGCTCAAGTTTAAGAATCACTGCTGAATTCTGCAGTTGCCAACCTTCTGTTAAGTAAACCACATATATACTACTTTTTTTACAATTAGCAAATGGAAGTTTAGAATCTACTATTTAAAAAATACATATATTCTATTCATATAGTACCTTATCCTTAAACTTTTCATAAAGAATTTCAGTTTTTAAAATGGATGTTTTAGTATCTGTTGAATATATTTGACAGACATAAACATTGTTTAAATTAGCAGTCAATGAAGACTTATTATCTTTGATTACCAAACTGTTTTCTCATTAAAAGGATGAGGATCATTCAATCTAAGATATGTGCAAATATTTACATTTCTCAAAATCTAAATGATTAAAAAAAAAAAAAAACATGGCTTCCAATTATAGTGACAACACTTAAAAAAAAAAAAAGCTGTTAGTAACTATCCCCCAATTTTTTTGTTGTGTTTAAGTTGAATTAAAATGAAACACAAATATTCATACCTTGGGATTCCACATCTTATTAGCTGGAGTGTTTCTTTTAACCTAAAGTTAAACTCTGGGGAAGCAAAGAGCAAAAAATACTCTAGATATGCCTCATTTTCTTTTAATAGCATATCAGACTACACATTTCAAGGCATTCTCTTAAAATCTTAAAAGAAGGTATTCTTTCCTACAATTGAATACCTAATTCTACTACTTCTTCATCTATAGCCTATTTAATTTTGATCATTCTGCTTTATCTGCTTTTGGAAAATAACTCAGCCAATTCTTATCTTTCATTCTCTATCTGTCTTCACATTGGATTAAAAATTGTATGGCCATCAACTCCTAACATAAAAATCTGGCAAATCTTTTCCAGTATTTCCACTAACTTGTACATCAAATCTAAACTACTCATAATCAGTTTCAAATTTTTTCTTTCTTGTTTTACTTATCCTCTATTAAACATCTTAAATACTTACCACTTCTCGATGCCTCTCATATCTCTGGCTAGGCAAAGGCTAAGGGGTTGAACTCACCAAATAGAATGGTATATCCTAATTCAGATTTAAAATATATTTTTCTTATAACAAAAAATTCTTTATAGGAACTAAACCACATCTCCAATTATAGGATAACAATAAAAAAGTCTAAAAAATAAATTGTAGTTTTCAAAGCTCTTCTGGGCCCTAAAATATAAATTTTTAAATCTACCAGAGCATATTTAAGGTTTTATTAGTCAGCATTACGAGATCATGCTTTTGAGAGTCTATACTAGTCACTGATATTAGATAATACACAAAAATAATAGGAAAAGGAATATGGTCTTGCATAAGGTTAACTCATAGAAGCCCAGATTATATTTGGTCCTTCAATAAAAAAGGACCTAACTCCCCAAAAAGGTGGAATATAGACATGAATAAAATTAGAATTTATTGGGAGATTTTTAAAAAATCACAAAGGTCTCAGGAGTACGGGTGAAAGAATTAATTTCAATACAAAAATAAAAAGCTTAATTTATTTTCAAAGGGTACCTATAACCAACCAAGATGGGGACCCTAGCATTAGACTATACTTAAAAACATTTCATTTTAGAACACCTAAGGCATATTGATAGTAACTGTGTATGGCTATTAATTCACTTGTATTCTTTCAGGTATTTGGGGCTAATATTTTAAACAAGGAATTTAACTCCTTTACTTTTCCTACGTCTACAAATAATATACTTACCAGGTCTAAAACTAGGGAAAATTCTGGTGTGCTTCTTGTTTTCAATGGAAGAGCAGGTTTCCTATTTAGCTGTTCTTCTGTCAGTGGTGGAACATGTTTGATAAAATAGTAGCTATAAATCAAATTTTAAGAAAATTTTATTATTTCTATTTATTATAAACATAAGTCATATTACTAAATTCAGCCTATCTTTAAATCTTTAGTTAAATAATGCACATTTAACCTAGTAAACCAAACATATAAAACATGTAAGTAAAACTGTAAATACACAAATTAGTATTTCAGTAACTCAGTAAAAGTATTAATACCTATAGGTCACATGCTTTTTATAGCATACCATTCAGCTACCCCTCCACACATGTACTTTCATTTTGTTCCAAAAGGGAAAGAAACAAAACAAAACTCACGGGTCAAATACTTCCCAGTCCTCTTCATAGGTGGCCTCTGCGTGGGCTGATGAATAACCACTATCTGGAGTTACTGGTGCTATTTAATAAAGTGAAAAACAAAATGCTATTTTTACTCATTTAATGCTTCATTAAGTATATATTTTACTGCTTTTATGTAAGATTTTCCAGAAGTCCTGTGTATTTTAGATTACACAGGACTAAAAAGTGTTATTTAGATTAAAAATAAGACAGAAATAATTTCTAAACAGTATTTTAAAAGCAAATTTATAAACATGTAGCTCTAACTTCAGATCCAAAGGAAAAAAATTACCATTACAAACTGGCAAGCTATATCATGGCCAGCATAACTAAAAATCCTAACAGCTAGCAGAAAATTCACTACTTATTATTACTAGAAAAATACACTCCATATGAGTTCAATTTCTAACTGGATGGTGCTTATATATAACTAAAAATTTCATGGTGCTCTTATGGCATTAATATTTCACGAAGTGCCTTGTACATACAGGTAGTCAATATATGTGTGCTGACAACAGATCCAAAGCTAATTTTTAACCTGAAACCCATGAACACTTTTTAAGAGGTCCATAAATTCCTTGAAGATTTATGAAAAAAATGTTATACACATATTCTTCCAGGAATCTCAAGGCTGCCTATGATCTTAAGTAGTTAAGAAATGCTGCTCTATATAGAAATCTTTGCTTTAGAAGACACATTATTTCTAATGTACAAGCAATTCAAAATAATCAAGAAGCAATTCTATATTCTATCACACATAATCTGTTCTGTTTAAGCTAAAATGGTATCAATTGATAGAGCTTTGGAAATTATGTTGGGAATTTTCTAAGACAATAATTACAACATAAATTCAAGGAGAGGACAAAGATAATTTACAAGCTGATCAGGTAATGCCCTGGAGATAAAAGTTTAAGGTGGATGCTAGACTAAATGTCTGTATCCCCTCAAATTTCATACGTTGAAACCTAATCTTCAATGTGATGATGTTTGGAGGTGAAGCCTTTGGACGGCCATGAGGTCATTAGGGTCATGAGGATGAAGCCCTCATGAATGGGATTGGTGCCCTTCAGAGAGCTCACATAACTTCTTGCCATCTGAGGCCACAGTGAGAAGACAGCTGTCTATGAAGCAGAAAGCAGGCCCTCACCAGACACTGACTCTACCAGCACTTTGACTTGGATTTCCCAGTCTTCTGAACTGTGAGAAATAAATTTTGTTATTGTAGCCTGAAAGGACTAAGACAGTGGAACTCAATAAAAATTGTTATAATTTTTGTTAACAATTGTATGCCAATTGAATGGTATGCCAATTGAACAGTTCATAGCACAAAGGGATAATGGAAAAATGTATCTTCAATCACTTCTGTTTCAAATTCCTATTAACCTCAGAGAAAGGGGAAAAGACGGTAATATTTGAGTGCCTTCATGCTAAGCATTTTTCATACTTCATCTCTCTTAACCCTTAAAACTCTGAATTATTATTACCATTTTAGGCTAAGGTAACTGTTTCAGAGAGCTTAAATAAATTATCCAAAGTCACACAGCTAAGTTAACAGCAGAGACAGACTCTTTCCTTCTTGTGCTCTTTGACTACATTCCTAAAGTTAGGGAAAAGTAATAATTCTGTCACTCATATTCATCTTTTAAGATGAGCAAAAATTTTATTTCTATCCTCTCATGATCCTCCCAGAGTAACTGAAATGTGCCACCTCATAATTTTGCTCATTTATTGTTTTAAATTTATTTTTCAATTCCAGTTGATATACATTGTATTATTCCAAATGTATAACATAGTGATTAGACATTTACATGCCTTACTAAGTGATCATCCTGATAAGTCTAATACCCATCTGGCACCATACAGTTATTACACTGTTACTGACTATATTCTCTTTGCTATACTTTATATCTTCATGACTATTTAATAACCGGCAATTTGTACTTCTTAATCTCTTCCATCTTTTCCACCCATTTCCCAAACCCCCTCCAATCTGGTGACCACACATTTGTTCTCTGTATATGAATTTGTATGTTATGTTTGTTCATTTTTTTGGATTTTACATATAAGTGAAATCATATGGTATTTGTCCTCCTGTGACTTATTTCACTTAGCATAATATCCTCTAAGTCCATCTATGTTGTAGCAAATGGCCATATTGTATTCTTTCTCATGGCTGAGTAATATTTCCTTGCTCGTTTAGTTTTAATAGCACTCACCACACTGTATGGTAATTTTCATGTATACTTGGCTCATCGATTAGATCATAGACTCTTCAGGTCAAGAAGCATATCTTGCTCATTTCTATAAACAGTGCTCATCACAAAAAAATAGGTGTTTAATAAATGTTAGGGGAATAAATGAATGAATGAGACTACTGGAATAAATTTTACTTTCCCTTCTAGAAACCACTAAGGTTATAGAAATCCCTTCTCCATCTTCAAAGATGTCAGAAAAAAATGAATACAAAGGTTTATATAGCAGCACGAATATACAGAACAAATATCAAACAGGGAGCCAAAAGCCCTGGACTTTATCATTCAATAAATCTATAACACTGGGCAAAGTAATCAGCGTAAAATGACAGGTCAACCAGGGAGTTTCATTTGAAGTCTTATCCACCCAAGAATGAATGAAATATGTGCACAATCCATGTTGATGTGCTTGTTAGATTCAGTATTATTCTTAAATTATAACACTATAATTTAATATTATAGATATTAACATTATGTTTAACATTATAGGCATTAATCTTTTATCTGACAAATTTAAAATAACCCCTCTACTATGCTGCTTTTCTCTTCAGACTGGTATTACCGGGTTGTACTGTATAGAAGTTTCATAATTGTTTATATTTTTTTCTTTAAATGTTTTCTGCTATTTCAATGATTTTTAAAAAAAGTTTGCCCGTTATAGTCAAGAGAAGAACATCATTCTACTTCCTTATACCAAAATATACTTCTTACGTACTAGGCTCTCTCAAATAACTGGCACACAAAAGGGGAAAAAAAAAAGTTTAAGATTTTTCTCTCTCTGGGAAAAAAGCCATTCTCAATTTTATTTCTACTTTTAAGCATGATACAACACAATTTCATCTTTTAGCCTCATAAGTCTATATACCAAAACCCTTCAGAAGTAATAAATTATGATCTCATGTGTTTCTACATTTCTATAACTGGCTTAGGAACTGAACAATTATGTTAGGCTTTTATAAGGATCCAGAATTAGGCTGTAAAGTTTGGGTATAAGGAGAGATCCAGGAACAGAAGCTTCCTTTGGGGGGATGTCATTTATGTATGAAACAAATCTGAAGGTATGAGATTAGCTCTAGATAGGAACTTTAGACCTAAGGATCTAAAACGGGTGCAATTAAAATAACTATGTTCATAAACATGAGCATATATTTTGCTGGTTGTGTTAAATTTCTCCAAGTAATAAGATTGGTATAATTAATCGAACTGTAAAATGATTAACACTCATTCAAAACAATCTTTTTTAAAAAATTCAATTTTAAAATGACTAAATTTGGGGGAGAAAATTTTGATTTCCAATTTTAATTTCAACTTCAAGGATGAAAAACTTATGCATTTAATCTGCCTATTAAGAAAAAATATGAAATACTGTATTTTTATAAATTATTTGTGAAGCTACATAAGAAAAGGAATTTTCTTCACCTGTAAGGGGTGGGATATCACGATTAACTGTTTCTTCTGCTTCTTCTAAACCATTATTTATTGATGGCCTCACTTGAATTGCTTGATTTGAATAAGCTGCTCCATTAGTTGATGTAGTAGTACTGGTAGTGATCTCATCCACTTGTTCCATATCAAGCTGTTTTACTATCTCTTCGGCTTCCACTGCCTGTCCTGGGGAATCGGATCCTGATGTTCCTGAAATCATGATTTGGTGTATTCACAATCATCATTTAAAAACACACAGGGGTGGGAGGATAAAATGGGTGTTGTTTAAGGGTACGAACTTACAACTATTAGTAAATAAGCCCCAAAGATCTAATGCACAGTATAGTGAATATAGACAATAAGATTGTATTATAATCATCAAACCTGCTAAGAGACTAGAACTTAATTATTCAACCAATAAAAAGATAATTATGCAACATGATGGCAGTGCTAATTATCGCTATAATGGCTATCATATTATAACACATAAATGTGTCAAATCAACATGTATACCTTAAATTTACACAATGTTATGTCAAATATATTTCAATAAAAAAATAAACACTCAAATATTTAGAAAAACTAAATACAACAGAAACAAAGCTGAGGACACCATTGCTTAGTGAGTCTCGGACATTTCAAATAACAAGGAATAGAGACTATTATAAGCTATAGTAGATTTGTGAACTGGTTTCTTTTTGCCATTTTTAAGTGTTCAAATAGTTTAGAAACACCCATTTATAGTCAAATAAGTCATAATTTAGAACTTTTTAATTTTTAATTGATATAATTAACATACAACATTGTGTAAGTTTCAGGTGTTCATATTGATTTAATACATTTATATAGTACAATATGATTGCTGACCTAGCATTAGCTAATATCTCTATCCCACAACATAATTATCATTTCCTTTTTTGTGGTTAGAACATTTAAGATCTATTCTTAGCAACTCTGAAGTATATAATACAGAACTTCTGTACATTATAGCAGATATCATTTACTAAGTGCTTACTATTTCTAGGCATTACATATATGTATTCATTATCCTCAAACAGCTCCTCATCTTTTCACTACTAAGCATCCTAGCCATTATAGATAGTTTTAGTTTTTAAACTAGAGGCAGTTATCCAAGAATGAACTGTTCCTCTAACTATGAGGACCCTTTTATTCAGAGAAGGACAATTCTCAACAAGATTCCATCTTAATAAAGACTGACTTGAATTTAGTTTCCTCATTTACTCAGCCATCACCTAGAAGATACTGCTGCCCAATTCTCCTTCCACTATGGCATGACCCCTCCTCTTTCCATTTCTTTATAGAATCCTACAAGTCATTTTCAACAACAAAATCAACCTCTAATTCTCTCAACTTCCTCACAAAATATTCCTCCTCCCTCATTCCTTTAAATTTAACCTCTTTTCAAAAAAAGATATCACCCCTTCCCTTAAAGCTCTTTATCCTCCCATACTCAACGTACTAACTGAATCAGAATTCATGTATCTCCATTGCTGCCACCAGATCACTGGTTTTCCACTAATGTCCAAAAACGCTGGCTCCTTTGGGATTGATGTCAACTGGCTATGATTCTTCACTTAGCCCCACTGCTGTCATCTCCCATCTATTGCCAGCATCCTCTCTTAATCACACAGGAATTTAACACCTAACTACCAATTTTCTGCTGTATTAAATGCCTGTCTAGTTGTTCTTACAGATGATATCTATGGCTCATCCAATGACTAATTCTCAAAGGTCTTACCCTCTTTAGCTCCATTTTCATTCATACTGCTCTTTAGCAGTAAACATCATGGCCATAACCTGGACATTAACGCTAAGAAACTGTTCACCTCTGAAATCTAAAATTCAAATACATTAATTCCCTACCACAACCTCTTAATCTTCTAATTATCTCATACTCCTATTACATGAGATCTTCACACATTTGATAAAGGCCAGTCTCTTTTATTCCAAACACATCTCTCAACAGCTTCTTCTCCACAGACTTCATTATATATCTCTTACTCCTTTCTGAAGCCAGCAGTCTCAGTGTGTCCTTGCTCCCTTGTCTTTCCACTGTCATCTACCATAGACATCTCCATTGAATCAATCTAACTTACGGGCTTCTCTCACACGGAAATGGTACAATTATAAAGACTGGTCATACTCCAAATTAAACCCTCTCATCTTAGGCCTAGAGCATGCTGCCCAGTATGCTATATTTCGTGTGTGCATGTGCATATAAGCTTCTTTTACTTATACCCACCCAACGGCAAACATTCTAAACCTTTACCATTCATTCTCTTCAATCCTTGCCACCAGAACTATCTCAGCAAATACACCATCTCCTTCATATAAAAAATTGTAACTATCAAACATGAATTTCTATGCAAACACGTTTGACGGTTACAATTTCTGCACATATCTTCATAGCTTCTTTCCTCCAGCACGGAGAAAAATGTTTTTTTTCTCCCTGTTTCAATTCCAATCCTACTTGTTCTTCTGATCCCATCTCTGCCAGGAAACTCCAGAAACTTTATTAGTTATTCTTTTTCCTCTATGTTCAATCTCTTCCTATTAGACCTTTTCCTAAGACTTAAAAATATGCCTACCCCTCACAAATACAAACATCCCTTGAGAGACTTTGTGAGTTCTCTAGTTTCTTTCATATGCATGTTCCTTATAACAATAATCAACACTTGCTGCTTCCTTTCTTACTCTCCATTTTACTCTTAACCCAAGGATGTTAAGCTACCAACTCCACCACTCTGAAAATGTTCTGGCAAAAGGAACCAATGACCTTTTAATTGCCAGTTTCAGTGTGTCTTTTAATGCTCATTTCCTTTTCCTCTTCTATCTTGATAACTATTTGACCCTGGGTTTTGATAACCTCTCTCCTTTTGGCTTCTATGACACAGACTCTCCTGGCTTCCTCCATGTGTCCTTTGCTTACTTCTTTTACTTTGTCCAGTCCTTAAATATTTGCCAAGATTTGGGTTTTAGTTTGCTGAACCAAATAGACAGTTTACTCCACTGGTTCAACTAATACCTATAAGCTGATAATACCATGGTCTACTACTTAAACTCAGATTTCTCAGCTCCACAGAAGAATGATAAATTGCTACTAGACATTTTTACTGAGTTGTTTCACGGCATCTCAAACTCAGCATGGGCCAAATTAAATTCAATCATCTCTCTCCCAGGGAACTTACTCCTCTCTCTTTAAAATCTAACTTTGTATCATCTTAATCTTTTACCTACAATTTTTGCCCAAAATTTGTCCGTTCTATATCTCTAACCTTTCTTCTCTCTTCTAATATCACAATTAAGGTCACATGAAGTCTTAAATGGACTACAAGTCCAGAAACTGTTCTCCCTACATCCAGCCTCCTTAGAACTTAGCCTATACACTACTGCTAAAGAGATCTCTAGAAAACACAAATCTCTTCTTATTATTCACCTTGCAATCATCTCCCACTGACTAAGAAAGTTCGAATACCATACCATGTTAATTCTATAATTTAAATTCTAATAATTCTCCTCTTATCTTTTCCCGTGCACTCCTCAAATCAAATGCTCCATCTGTGACTAATTCCAGTTTCTCAAATACACTATGCTGTTGCTCATGCTGCTCCTACCTGAAATGTCCTTTACCACTTTTCAAAGTTCAGCTTTTCTATGAAGCCTTTTGTGAGAAGCTATTCAGAATATAGAAACACTCCATTTTTTGAGTACTCCACTGCCCCACACCTTTATCAATGCACTTATAAAAATTTATTATATTTATTTACATGTATTTCTCCCTCCTGTAAAAAGGAAGCTTCTTGAGGGCAGGGACCACGTATTAATCATCTCCGAATCTCCAGTGACTAACACAGTAGATGCTCAACATTTGTTGAATGAATTGAAATCTTCAAGTCATCCTTCATATTTAAATATAGTCTCTCTCACAGATTAATAAGAGGCACAAGAATTTAAAGAACTGGTCCAAAGTAACATGGATAAAGAGTAGCAGAGTTGGAATTTTAAAACAAGTGTAACTCCAAAACTCATTCCTTTTCCACGACATCAGTCAGTATTTACTTCCAAAGATGTTCTATGGGGCACTAGTTCTACAAGATGTTAGTAGATGTTCCACAGAATTGAGTTTTGGTCAAATATGTCTAGGATATACTGGGTTAAACAAAGTTAAAGGTAGCTTTGTTTTTTGTTTTGTTTCCACTCCATGACTGCATGGTCAAATTAATGTGTTAATATGCATTATTTTTGCCCCCAGGGCATCTTGATTTTACAGTGCACAATTCTGCCTCTTAAAAATTGTATCATCATCCAGAAATATAATTCAATTTATAATTTAAATAACCAGGCAACAAGCATTTAATGGCTATTTTTCATGTGCTCAATACTGTATCATACAACATGGCAGATTCATTTTAATTAGGGTAGTTTTACTATTTATCTAAACTGAAGATCCCTAGGGGTGGGAGTGGGGGGATCAAGCAAATGATAATAAAAACTGTGTTACCAAAAATGACCTAGTTTCACTTAAAATATTCAACAAGTTCCACTTTATTGATCTAGAATACTGAAAATGCTTCTGGACTCTCTCCTGTACACACTCTAAGGATTACAAAGTCAATCCAATACAGAAAAAATAAAACTCCAGCCCAAAGTGGATCATCTAGCTTTTCAGATAGTAAACGCAGAGTTAATGCATTTCAACAGAATTAAACATATCCTGTATTTATTTCAGTCACTAAAAAAAATGCCTTATAGGAAATCTATTTTTAATGAGGCTAAAAACAAACATAAGATGCTGGCAAAATATGCCACTAAAATCAAATAGAGCTTATAAAAAACTAGAAAAACCAATAATTTTTTTTAACCTAAATTATGTTAATGGTTTATACATACCATTTTTATTTGCTGGTGAAAAAAAGTTGAAGACAGGAGAAAATATGGTCCCCAACAAAGTAGTCCTTGGAGGACTGCCAGAGGAAGGATTATCTTCTAATTTACCATTTTGTTTTACATGTTGATTTGTCATTTCATAACTACCAGCTTCTAAGAAAGAAAGAAAAAAGGTACAATCTAGAAAACATAACTTTCAGAAATGTGTTCTAAACCATTCATTGTGAAAATAACTTTTCCCTTCAAAATACTTCATGAGAACTAATTAATATTGTTAGGAAAGTTTATTAAAGAAATTGTGGTATATCACTTGTAGATCAAATAATCTTTATAAAAAATTTACTTATAATTCTTTATAAACACTAAAATTCACTGAGTTTTTCAAAGTACAGTTGACCCTTAAACATTTTTTTTTTTTCATAAATACAGTTGGCTCTCTGTACCCCAAGTTTCACATCCATGAATTCAACACTATATACTATTATACTAAAAACAGTATTTTCAATCCAGGGTTGGGAATCTACAGCAGTCCTGGAACCAATCCACTGCAGATACTGAGGGAAAACTGAAGTTTTGCTGTGGGAAGATGGCCTGTGCACTGTAGGATGCTTAGCAGAATCCCTGACCTGTACTGCTAGATATGAGTAGCAACCCCTCAAAAGGTTGTGAAAACCAAAAGGTCTCCAAACATTGATAAATGTCCCCTGGAGAACAAAACCACCCCAGTTGAGAACAACTGGGTTGAGTGATCCAAGCCCCTTGGAACTCTGAAATTCCGTGATCCAGGAACAAATTCTTATTAAGTACATATTTCAAATCTGTACATGTACAACTTAAGTCACATCTATCATTACTTTAAGAATTAAGTTTATTATAAGTCAAAAATGTTGCTTTATATGCATTTCCATGTTAAATAATATAAAGCTAGTTGCTCTGCCTTTGTCATTTTAATTCAAAAAAGTAGACTTATATTAAGGTAAATTTTTATTTTACTTCATGCTGCTAGTATTTAACACAAAGATTGCAAAAACAGCAGAAATTGCTCAAAGTAGATTTTTAAAAACAGAAAAGAAACATGTCAGGTGAAATTTCTGCTTATACCTAATAAAACAGTATCTAAATATTAACAAACCTCCATTTACTTGACTTTTCCGTCTTACTCGAGATATCTGTTTATTAGGTTTTTCTCCCGCTCTTGGTGTTGATGTGATCAGATTATTATCTATATCGCGTTCAAGTCTACTCCGTTTCGAAGGATTTTCTCTCTCTTCCTTAAGATATAAAAGGAAAAACATGCATTGAGCAGTCATTCTATTCTGCCTTACAGGTTAAACTTTTAAAATAAAATATGATTTGCACCCTCACCATGCTAAATTGCAGCTTTACAATAGCTAACATATGGAAACAACCTAAGTGTCCATTGATTGATGAACGGATAAAGAAAATGTGGTATATTGACATTTGTGACATGGATGACTTGGAGGGCAGTATACTAAGTGAAAAAAATCAGAGAGAGAAAGATAAATACCATATGATCTCACTTATATGTGAAATATAAAATTTAAAAAACAAACAAAAACAAAACAGAACAGAATGGTGGTTGCCACAGGTGGGAGAAGAGGGTGGGAGAAAATGGGTGAAGGAAATCAAAGGTACAAAACTCCAGAAATAAAATAAGCAAGTCATGGAGATGTAATAAACAGCATGGTGACTATAGTTAATAACACCATATTGCATGTTTGAAGGTTGCTAAGATAGTTCTCATCACAAGAAAAACAAAAAACTCTGGAATTATGTATGGTGATGAATGTTAACTAGGTTTACTGTGGTGATCATTTCACAACATATACAAATATCAATCATTACATTGTGCCTAAAACTAATACAATGTATGTCAATTACATCTCAAAAAAGGATAAAATGTAGTATGATATACTTTCCCGTTTTTCAAAACCAGGAGAAACCAAATAGAATATATAACATTGGTAGAAAAATACAAGAAAAATGTGAGTGTCATAAGAGTATTTATTAATGCAATTACGATACGCAAATATAATTATAGCATCCTCACAATTCAAATCCTTTCCCCAGGGTCCATTAAATTTCCATGCTATTAAAATACTGAATTGTACATGTGCTCTGAATTTTCAGCAATCTTCCCTTATTCCTAGAATTGCCTGAAAAAACAGAAGTTGTTTCACGAGCACTCACAGTTAAGAGCAAGAACCTTACTAGAATTTGCTGGCATATCACAAATTACCAAAAATGACAAAAAGTAATTATGCCTGCCACTGCCACAACCCCCCAATGCCAACCTCAGTTCTTTAAACTCCTTAATAAAGCTCTCTACCATTCATTTCTTTATATGGGCAAATCCACCTATGACCAATTTATACTAGTTTTACAATATTAATGACTAAGACAGTATACTCCAAGAAACTACCTGATTTTTCTCTATTTTTCTCATTTCTAAATTTTTTTCTAGAGTCATTTACATAAGCAATTTTCTTATATTTACTGTAATATTGGCCTATAATTCTTTATTTTAATAAGAGTACCTGAAATCTTTTGATAACTGTATTTTAAAATCTATATACATAATGTATATAGATAACCAACATTCTTATTCAACAGGAATAATGTGTACTTTTTTTGCATTCGATGGTTTTACACCATCGAATGACATACTATTATACGTTTTCTAGAGGTTGAATATCGTTTTATTATTTCTGAAACAAACCCTGGTTTTTTAAGTGGCCAAAATTGTAATTCCCTATTTGGATCAAAACAGAAAAAAGATAATACTGCAAATATAATTCAGTGCAAAATTTTACTTTTATGCAGCAGTTTCTCTAATTTTACGTAGTTTCATCAAAACGATATGTCCCCCTGCCCCGTGGTTTCACTCATCCATGGTCCAAAATATTAAATGAAAAATTCCAGAAATAATAAATTCTTAAGTTTTAAAATGTATGCCATTCTCAGTAATGGTGAAATCTCACACCATGTGGTTCCACCCCTACCAGGACGTGAATCATCCCTTTGTCTAGTGTATCTATGCTGTATACCTGCCCATCTGTTAGTCACTTAGTAGCTATAACAGTTATGATGACTATTGTGCTTGTGTTCAAGTAACCCTTACAGTAGCCTACCACTACGTCACAATGCCAATGTCATTTATCTCACTTCATTTTACCACACAGGAAATGTATTATCTCACATCATTACAAGATGGGTAAGTACAGTACAATACTTTGAGAAAAAGATGATGTTCATATGTAACTGTATAATTATTACACTATAGTTATAATTGTTCTATTTTATTGTTAGTTTTTTATCTCTTACTGTGCTTAATTTATAAATTAACTTTATCATAGATATATATGTACAGAAAAAATCATAGTATATATACAGTTCAGTTTCAGGTATCTACTGGGGGTCTCAGAAAGTGGATAAGAGGGAACTACTGTATAGCACGAAGTAATGCCTCAGTGATCTATAAAAAAAATTCCTCAGATTTATACTCTTTATCATTCCTCTGTATTTTAAAATGATGACAGGAAGCCTCATATTTCAAACATGGGATCTCCATTATCAGAAAATATAGGGGTGTGTGTCTCTTTATAAAGTCCTCAAGAAAAGAAATAATGCCACAAAGCCTCAACTACACTAAGGTCCAGCATCCTCCTAAGGAAGACTCTTAGCACATCTGCTATAACATAAATACATATACTTCTGAAAACCTTGCATTCTAAAAACAGAAAAGTTTATGGGGGCAAAATGGGTCCAGTAGGGTAGAAAAGGGTACACTGGAGCAGTTCAGTCAATGTCCCTGTAACTCTAACCACAGTACAAACAAAAACAAATGACTGGGATCCCCAAAGATAACTTGGACATCCCAGTCAAGCAGCTAAGAGCAGCTGAAATGCTACCTCAGGGCTTAATAAAAAGTATTAAAAAAAGAAAAGTAGCAACAAAGGCTTATGGGAGTTGATAAATGAAGCTTTTAAGCCAGTAGGGTTTGCTAAGATGGACACAAAAGGAAATGCAAACTGCCACATGAGAAGAGCCCCTGCTAGACCAGGCTATACTTCTTTGAGGAGGCACTCCCACTGCAGGTTATCACTTTAAATTTTAAAGTCTTGTGTGGGAGGCAGGGGGCAGGGTTGGGAGAGCTTTTGCCTCTGTAGGATTTGAACTCAAAATTTTAAACTTTCCTTATGAAGTATAAAATTTAACTCCCATTATTCAGGGAACCGCTGTCCAGCTTAAGAAAAATCACATGTAAATCAACACACCACCCCTGTGCAACACTATTCTCCTATTTACCAATAGGGTATAAGCTAATTGATATCATGGACATACAACATATTAAAGAACAAACTATACTATGGTCAAGTGAGAATACATTCAAATACTCTAGTTTACATCTCTGAAGAGGAGGAAGCAGAAGCTACTAAGATCAAGGTTAAGATTCTGTAGTCATTGTTAATAAAATCCTATTCTTCAGAATAATGCATTCAAATGTTTAATCATGGTCCAATTCCTAAAGACAATTCGCCACCCAATGTGTTTTGAATATTCAACTATATATTTTGGGGACATTTTTAGATAAAGTATGATTATTTAAAAAAGAACTAAGAAAAACAAGATTTCTACATTACTGTGGAGGTTGTTTTAATAAATGTAATAATCCTATAATATATCCTCTGGAATTTGTATTTTTCAAAGTTGTCTAAGAGGAAAATCTTGGGAAGGTAGTGTTTTTAAATGTCCAAATCCCAAAGGAAATACAGAGAACAGAAGGGGAAACCATAGACTTGTGGTTACCACGTCCACTTTACACACAGAAGGTCCTGGGTTCGAGCCCCAGTGGAGCCACAGCCCATACCCTGGGTGCGCCAGGCCCCAGGTGTGCGCCAGGCCCCGGGGGTGCGCCGCAAGCGTGTGGGAGGAGACGACCCACCTTGAGATCCAGTTTTTAAGGGGAGACTGCAAATTTAAAACCAGGAGACAAGATATCTCCCCCAAACTTCAAACTGATGAAGACAAACCAAAAGCCACAACACCTGAGTGCCCACATGCTCCAGTGCAGAAAGCAAAAGGATGCAACAAGGTGTATGACACATCCGCAAACAGGAGAAGTCCAAAAGAGCTAACAGGCAGATCTCAAGGAAAAGAAGGGCAGGCTAATTTGATAACAGCAGATGAAAAGAGGAGAAGAAGTTGATGCCAATCCTATAGCAAAGGGGTCCATGAGGAGAGTGAAAGATAAATAGTTTAGCTTTAAAGACTTAAAATTGACCAACTATAGCTCTCTTCTAGGATAGGGTCCCACATGGAGGGGAAACTGCTGGAAATAAAATCAAAACTGAGCAAGAAAAGCAAAAGACAAAATAAAGAAAAATTCCAGATAAACATGAGCTAGTCATAAAGTGACAGGAAAACTAAAAAGCAACCACTGTATCTATGAACATTACAGAAGAACAACACAACTAATCAGAAAAGACTCTGAACTACAAAATCCTCTAAAAATTCAGAAAAACTAATCTCAAAAAAATGAGCAACAAGAAAGTATAGATGTCAGATCACAAACAAATTATCATAAAACACACAAGGAGTAAAATAACATCTCTACAAATAAAGAAAATGTCAGAAAAACGTGCGTAGAAAATACATCAAAATTAAAATCTTCTATTTCAAAGCAAGACAAGAAAATGATATGAGACATACATCAGAGTCAGAAAAACTCAGAAATGAAGAGATAGAACAAAATAATTAGAATTAAAAGAAAAAATTATTTCGGAAATAAAGACTGAACTAGAATGGCCATAAAAACGAGGAAACAGAATAGATTATGCCTTTATGAGAAAGAGAAAGTAAAATAGGAAAAAATTTAAGACATCAAAATGTGACAAGTATTACAAGACAGGCAAAGAAGATCCAACAGACAGAAAAGAGTCTTTGAAGGAAACCAAAGCAAAAGTGTGGCAACAAAACAATTAGAAAAATTTCCCCAAATAAAAGATTTGAAATTACATGTTGAAAAGTACTGTTTAACTAAAACTGTCAACCTAGAAAAACAAATGCTAAGATATACCCTAAACTTAATAGAATTAAAATTAAAATTAAAGAAAAAAACTCCTTTGGAGAACAAGGCAAAGTCAATTTATTTATAAAGGAAAAATTAGATTATCAAACTTTGACAGCAATGCTTTTTATGCCAGAAGAAAATGGAATAATATTTAAAATAATAGAGGAGAAAATGTGA